CACCTCACACGTGTGCTGCATTTATATAGCTCTTCAGATTAAACTCATCACAATCCATTGACGTCTTATTTCGAAAAAAAGACAGATTAAATATGTCAAGATTGTTTGATGTTTATACACAAAAAAGCAGACTGAAATTATATAATCATTATACAGCTTTTACGGTATCTGTTATCACAATCGTCGATAGTAGTAAAAGCCGGTTTTAGGGGCATCCCGAGTCATTCGATGTTCTTGGCGGAGATTTCGTTCACTTCTCAACGCTTCACAAAATTTGATTGTAAACCTTTTCAGGTCGGATTATTCGGTTTCTGTTTGCAGCTGGGAGATGAGGTTCTTGCAAACTTCCAAAAAATGCATGGGGACAGAAGGAGAGAATACTTAATCCTTAACTTTCTTAAGAACCTGTAAGTGGCAGCAAGAAATCTCTCGTTGTAGCTTGTTAGGAAGATGCTATGCCTGCCAATAGCTCTCGGGAACCTCCTAAGTGTCCGGGTACTCGCTGCCTTATTTCTTCGAAAGCACATAATGTTTCAGAGTCGAGACCTCCAGCAAACTGCAGACAGTCATACATGGAAACATGATGAGAAAAAGAGACATCTCAGAAAAGATCAAGAACAAAGTTGACATGATCAGATTCTCTTAAGACCTCAGACCTTGAACAGAAAACCAAAAAACATAAATGAAGTGGTTATAAAACGGGCCCTAAGACATAGCATTGGCTAACTAGTCAAACAGGAACACCATTGGGCGGGAACCAAACAATTTCATCCAAAGTTTCAAACCACCTAGAGAAATGCCACACGTGATGACAATTGTCCCCGAAATGCATCATATGTTAATAAATAGAGATCTGTATCAAAATACAGGAATTTTGGGATTTCATCATACTCGGGGTACTACTTCTCATGATAAGGGGGTTGAAAGTATTGAGTTATACATCTACTACTCCCAAATTGAAACACAGCAATACGACCTGTTTACCTTTACTTTTGATCCAGTGAATACATTAGGTTCCTTGTTAGGTGATTATATAGTAGTTCCTGTCCATATGGGGTCCAAATTTTGGTTATTTTTCCAAATTTCCCACACAGTATCTACTTACATAGAAACTGCTCAAGAATTACCTGGTGAGCCCTATATGCGAAATGCATGCCCTGAAGCAGAAGAGATTCTTGATTTGATTGTCTATCTGAATTCCGAATGGATTCAAGCTCCAACGTCACTCTCTTCATGTAAATATTAGCCAGATTCATGGAAGCCCGCTTTATCTGCACCATTTGGGATGACATCAGTTCACCTCAAATACAATGTGAATAAAAGCATATTCCGTAATCAATGACCAAGAACAGCATAGCTAGTCACTAAGAACGGCAGAGATATATGCTGATATGGCTCTGCAGTAAATTTGATTTATCGAAAAAATAAAGACACTTAAAAGGTTTATGCTATGCTGATATTTCTACTTCTCAAAGTAAACTACAGGATTTCTTTATAACCCCAATGATATTATAAAATGCACAAACAAGGAGCATACCTTACTCACAATCCCAGAATCGAGCATCCAATCAGTTGGGATTTTCAATTCCTGATAAGAACGCATAACAGAACTTCTCAACTTAATTAACCTTTGTATGCTTCGCTCCGACCTTAGACGATGAGATGAGAGAGAGAGAGAGAGAGAGCAATGTTAACATTCTGCGCCTAGAAAGCGGTATGCTTTTAATAAACACATTACATAGTTCTTACTTGTCCAATAAGGCAGCCATCTTCTTCAAGGCAGCTGCACATGGAATGTCAGTGTCATCCTTGTAACAATAAATCTCACTTTCCAGCAGTTTAAGTTCACGATATTCAATTGCAGCTTCTCGCATGGCATCAGCTTTCCTCTCAGGCCATTTGAAATGCTTTAAGACAGCCCGTTCATCAGCCTGTAGAAGGCACGAGAATGTTAGGTTTATCCACCCATTTATGTATCTTAATCACTGAACAAATTAAGCATCCACCGAAACAAGTAAACAACCTAGTAGGGGTACGCAGTTTCAAAATTTTCCGAAGTCAAGGTGATGTAAGATTATCCCATGTTAACCCCTCTTAAAAAGCAAAACTAATGCCAGATGGGCTGAATCACGATAAAAGCCTACCAGTCTACCATCTTCACATAAGTTGCAACTGATTCGAGAAGTTTTCAACTTCTGCTCATGGATGGTGCGGTAAATAAGGTTTTTGTCGGCATTAGAACTTACCAAAGATGAAAGTTCAACATCAAGCCAATCGACAAATTTTAGGACATCTTCTACATCCGTATATGCTGCAGCCAGCACTTTCTGGATAAGGTCATTGATGAACTCTCCTTTTGTTTGAACATCTGCTTTTATCTGGAAAAAGAAATCATTTGTCATTGGATAACGATTCAAACTTTGAGCCGAGGAACAAAAGAAGAAATTAGACATCAAAATCTTACAGCTAAGAGATGTGCTGAACGGTTTTGAATTTCTCCGACAATGCTATTATGTGCACTAGTAGCCACCGGTTTATGATGGTTTCGAGACTCCAGTGAATCCCTCTCCACCTCTTGCTTCCTCAATGAGTGAAATAATTCTACAAGTGCTGGAGCCTTCTGAGTGGTACCGGCAGTTGCTCTCATTGAGGACTGGGGCGGGGGCGGGGGCGGGGGTGGGGGTGGGGACCGAAGTGATGGTGGTAGCGGAGGTGGTGGTGGTGGCCCGGATTGGATGGCGGAGACTCTAAGAACTGCCCATTTTGGTGGTGGAGGAGGTGGTGCTTTGATAGGAGGACTTGTTTCATTGACTGCCTCTTTCTGTACTACTGACCGTTTTAATTTGTTGGCAATGAGTTTCTGGAGGTCTTTGAATTTAGGGCTCTGGTGCTCTCCATTTTTCTCCTTCTACAAACAAGAACACGAAATTTAAATTACAGATACTAAGGACACAATTTCCAACAACGAAATCGAATTTTTTTGTCAAATAACACAATCAATATTAGTTTTAAAAGAAAAAAAATCCACATTCAAATATTAACATGATGGAAGAACACAATCAAGACTTTTTTCATGGAAAATAATTACAGACGTATGAGCAATCTACTACATTGGCTAGAGCAGATACTCTCTGTGCACCGAGAGTTGACCATTCAACTCCGACAATTTAGAATAGTTTAAAGTAGAATATCACTCGTACAAACAAAACAATTAGATTCATGAAAGTTAGAGGCTTTACCTGTTCAGGAGTGGTAAAAGCTGCAATTTTTGCTTCAGCGGCGGCGAGATTCCGAGAGAGGTTTTTGTTCTGCGACTGCAGCTCCACGTTAAAACCCAGAGTCTTATCCAGCTCCGCCTTCAGCGCCGCCACCTCTGCCCGCAAACCGGCGATCAAACTCTCACTCATCTCAAGCTTTTCCTGCAATTCTCTGTTTTTCCCATGTGGGTCGTCTTCATTCGAATCATTTCTCTTGGAATTGGGTTCCACCGCCCTCAGCCGCCGCTGCCTCGAGGACTGCTCGGCGGCCTGGCGGTTTCCAATCCGACCCACAACCTTCTTCTCCTCAAGTTCCTTGCTTTTCTGAGATCCCAACACAAGCTCCCCAGATTCCGGCTTGCTGGTGAGCAGGAGAGCCCTCATCGTACTCCTCAAACTCTCTGAATTCACATCTGGGGACACCGACATTGCTCTTGCCGGTCTTGCAGCAGTCGGCGACTCCTTTGCTCTGGAAGAAGCTGAAGCTCTGAGATAAGACGGCGTCGTCTGGTGAGACATGTTTCAAGCAACCTGCGACTGCAACAAGTTGGAATTTTTTGTACTGCAATGTTGGTGCATGGATACTTATGGGGCAGTTTGACTTTTTAACTACTAAAAAACCATCTTTTTCTTTTCCTCAACGGCACTCGGAATCAAATTACGAATCGAAGTTTCGCATGGCTGAATCTCAATTGATCACGGGCACATGGATCACACTGAACCAAACCACCTTCTTCTTGGCTACCACTCAAATTCTCAGTCTCAAGCAAATCTGCAGGCAACCTTCGAGTTTGAGCGGAGGGTATGGAGAATACTGAGATGCTGAGAACTCAAACATTCCATATTTCCATAATCCATTTGTGCTTGCTTTGGTGATACTGTGTTTTATCAGTTTCTGTGCATATAAATGAATGTTCAGTTAGAATTGTCATAATTTAATTCTTGGTCATAAAATTATCCAAATTCTAGACTCCTCACCTAACACATTTATTCACGAATTAAATAAAATTTTAGGATCTTGAATTGGTGAGGAAGAAACGTAGTTTTGGGTGTTACGAGGGATTTAATTATTCATAAAATTAATTTGATAGGAATATAGTCATTTCCACCAACCTATAAATACTCTCCTTTAAATTTTTTATAGCTACAAATTGGTGATATTTTTTGTATGAACAGTGATATTTTCCTTTTATTAATTAATGCATGCAGATTTTTGTCCGCTGTACGTCGTGTAGCTCTTGTTTTTATCCATTCTGTGTCCTATTTTTTCCTTAATTTATTATCGACGTTAAAATTATAAAATCATTTAACAGAGAATCACAGAAAGAGAAATTCAATATTAAGCTTCCGCTTATACTAAATTATCAATAAAAACTACAAATTCTCACCGAAAAATGCTACAAAGTCGCACGACAAACTCAAGTAAGGGTAAAGGTAATGCAACTTATTTCCACTCAAGTACAACACAAGATTCGACCAAAGGACAAAAACTTTGAAAGTGCCCCGGCCTCTTTTTTTTTTTTTTTGTTCTTTTTTGTTTTTTGTTTTTTGTTTTTGCAATTTTCTCTGCATTTAAATGCAGAAACGTGAATTTAGCATCTTAATAATATTTGCCATCGTTCCTATAGAAATCATGATGTGCCCATCATGCCGCACGTCTTCGTGAGAAAATGATTCTCGTCGGATCCTTTTTCTAGGGATTCTAGGAATCCCGTGATCGTGATCATTTATCGTATATTGGGCGGTCAGAAATCATTTCAAAATTTAAAATTTAAAATTAAATATAAATAGTACCTAACGAAAACTGACCGCATGAGGTACGATGAACGATCACGATCACGAGATCCCTAAAATTCTGGATCCTCGAAAGATCCTTTTCCAAGAAAATGATTGGATTGATGAGGATCAGTGGAGGATAATAGTAACGTAGAGGAATCTAACGGTGAATTTTTTATGCTTAAAGACCAATCATAGTGCACTACAAAATGGAAGATTTTGTTTAATCATTCGAGTTATCTTCTAAGCTCAAACTGCTCCCCTCTAGATATTGTTTGTTGGTTGCAAAGTCACAATTATGGGCCATATATTGGATTAGTCTTCACACACAAATTAATCCCATTGGATTAAGAAAGTTATAATATTAGGGTTTGGTGCATGTTTGCCTTTCTAAATTTGATTTGTAGAGGATATTTACTATTATGGTTTATTGATACGTCTCTTATCTGTAAGTAGAAGGTTTTAAATTTGCTTCCCGTTGATCACGAGTTTCAATACGAATTTATTATAACTAACCTATTGTGTAGCTTATACAAAATCTTCCCCCATGATATAAACACATAGTTGCAAATTGCAAACGGACATTATTTTTTGCTGAAGTGACTTAGTGAAAACACAATAGAAATTTTTTATGCAAAATGTCAAAATGTGAATTGTCTGCAAATTACACACTATTTTTCTTTACGTTGGCCTTCATGCATATAGCTTTTCAAATGAGTTCTGTTAGACCTCTTTGTAGTAATGGTTAGAGTATACCATTAAGATGTGTTTGGCCTCTCAAGGGAGTTGAACAGAAACCAGTATTGTCTTTATATAGTTATATTTCCATTTGTTTGTGCAAGAAAAGGAAATGTAGAAGAAAATGTAATTTTTATTGGGGTCCATATTCCATTTATTCCTCAATGTCCAAATCAATATTGGGGACGGCTTAAATTAGTATATGCTCTGTCTTATCTCCCAAGGAAAACAAAGAATATATTGACCAGATAAAATGTTTGGGGTTAGTTTGGAAGTGTTTTTCAAATGTATTTACCAGATAAAATGTTTGGGGTTAGCTTTTAAAATAGCTGAAAGAGTTTTTTGAGGAAAATGTTTTTTATACCAATTCTTAGCAAAAATGCAAGTGAACCTTGAAAAAGCACTTAAGTGATTCCTGAAAGAAGCACATTCTTGAAGGAAGTACTTTATAATCCAAAAACATTTTCTCTAAAAACACTTATAAGCGTTTTAAAAGCATTTCCAAATGACACCTTCGACTTTTGGACATAGACTAGCTAAAACCTTCAGTACTATCGAGGATAAAAAGATGAGAAAAAATAGTTCACAAAAACGAAAGATAAGAAAAGATGAATGGGATTTAGATTATTTGTGGCTGGGATTTGAGTGGAAACGAAACTTGAAATTGTAAATTAGATATTGTAGTATTGGCAAAACTACACCACCATTATGATTTGATCAAAGGATTATTTATCAAATAAGTTTGAAGCATCAATTATAAGTTACTTGCATCGAATCTTTATTTTTTTTTTATTTGAGCGCAAAATGGGAGTCCCCACTACTTTCAGCACTCTTTATCATTATTCATACTTGAGCAGAGGAAGAAAAGTGCATGTAAATATAACTTGACGAAGTTTTTTAAAACACAATATGGTAGGAGAATGTATAATTTGGAGAGTATTCAACTTCCAAAATTAATCCCTAGGTAATTTCTGAATAATAAAAAACTGGGCTAGGGTAAATATTCCAGACCAAAATCTAGGATTATTGTTAATTATTCTCAAAGCAACATGCAAATCCAAACCCAAAAATTAAGCTAGGAACATCTAAGATTATTGTTAATTATTCTCAAAGCAACATGCAAATCCAAAAAGCATGGTTCCAAGATCCAACTAAATCCCACCATAGTTGTAGCCTATAGGCTGATGAAGCCATGGATTAATAGGAAAAGGATCCTTGCCGGGTCAAATTTTTAGGGATTCCGCAATTGTAACCGTTCATCGTATATTGTGCGGTCAGTTTTTGTTAGGTACTACTATTTATATTTAATTTTAAATTTTAAATTTTAAAATAATTTATAACTGCACAATGTACTATGAACAATCACGATCACATAATCTCTAGGATATCTAAGAAAATGATCCGGCTTGGATCCTTTTCCTAATTAGAAAATATATAGTGCATGAAAAGACACAAAAACTTAAGCACTTGTTGATTGCAGGAGTTAAAAGTCATAAGCACCATACCTTACTTAACCCTCAAATCAAATGCCAATCAAACTTCTACTCTTCCTTGTTGTGCTTTTCCATCATACGACGACGAAAAGTGGCCTGCATCTGCATATGAATTATGAAACGTTCTGTTTATGCCGGCACTGTAGCTGAATGAAATGAAAAGCACTTTCAGTTTGGGGCATGCATGATCTGTTCATCATGTGATTCTTCTGAATCACCAAGAATCACTGCGATTCATGTGTATGCATATATTACAAAAAGTGGTTTCAAGTTCCAATGTGAATCCATGTGATGATAATATGCCTGTAAAAGGACCGAGGCTCAATTGGCCGGCACGAGCCCCGACCCATTTTTTGGGTTGTGAGATGGCTCCATTTAGTCTTTAGACCATCTCCAACATTTGAGTTAAAATCTAAAATTTTTAGCTCAGAAAATTTAAATTTTAGCTTAGAAACAGTTTTTTTACTTCAACTCTTTTGGCTTCAATTTTTTAGCTTGATATTATTAAAGAATAAATTTAGGCTAATTTTTTCTTTTAAAGTAATTTAAAAAAAATTATGTACACTATCATAATTTAATTTTATAAACATTATAAATATTGAAAAATCACTAAATTTGGGTGAGTTTTGAGTTAAATAATTTTTTTAATTATTTTAGCCGTTGGATTTAAATTTGGGCCGTTAGATCTTTTTTTTTACTATTAGATTTGATTATATTCGATCTCAACCGTTTGATTCAATAAATCCTGAGAGACATGCCCATGTGGGTAGGGTCCAGCTAGTGGAGCCCACACCATTTTCTGGGCTAAATCCTGGGAGGAATTTGGTTTTTATTTGACTTTTAGCTTTTAGGCCACACATTTAGCATGTGTTGGGTTAGATTTTGGAGAGGGGGGAATAAAACCTAAAAAATAGCATTTAGCCTAGGATTGGGTTTGGTCTTAGGTTCGGGTTTTATCCCTCCCAATTTAAATAGGTAGGGCCTCGGCCTTGCATTTTAGGCCATAGGCCAGCCCATGGGATGAGTTTAGGCCCGACTCTTAGGCCCAGTTCTTCGGCCCGACCCGATAAGGCTTGATGTAATTTAAATACTTTTATTTTTTTAATATTATTAACTCTTTTTTTTTCAATACTTAAACAATTTAATCGACTATACTAACCAAACAAATACTTAGTTGAAATGATCATTGACAACTAATAAAAATAAAATCTTAAGTTTAATTCTCAACAACATACTATTTTTTTTATATTTACACAAAATGATTAAAAGGCAAAATTGGTCAGGCTGAGCATCCTGCTCATAGCCCCGAATTTTCTCTGGCCGTCGGCTAGGCCAGGGCCTTACATATTTGGCATAGGGTCAGGCCGACCAGGCCCAGGTCTATTTCACAGATCTAGATGATAATAAAGACTGGTTAGTTTTAAGTTTGCATGTAACGAGGACTACGATGCTTGATTAGTAGAATTACGTAACGGTGTGCTACGAAGCTTAAGAACTTTGAAATCTTTTGCGCCTAACATCTAGACAATTCTTGTTAGGTGATGTGAAAGAATGTTGAACGAGTCTGACACTTGAAGACTCTGCTATGATACCATGTTAGAAAATTAATTAGTTTCTAATTTAAGATTAATTGACAGTGGGTGAAGAAGTCCATGTTTAAGCAGTTATATGCTAGAGTTCTATCGTTCAATGTGGTAAACTCTCAACATTCCATACTCGGATTGGAAAAATGGTATGAAAGAGGAAAAGTGATTTCTCCACACAATTTCTTTTTTTCTTTTTTTTTTATTTTAAAAAATTTGGATTAAACAAATCAAAGAAAAATCAAGAGATATAGAGAATGGGGCATCAAACATGCCCACTTAATATGTACAATCAAAGAGAACATATAGGCTTGAAATTTTGTTAATATTATGTATTAGATTGATGTGCATCAAACATGTCCAATATGTACAAAATTATAAGAGCCAGCCACCAGTTGCATGCAGCACTAAATACATAGCTGACCCGTGAAACCTTTTGGAATGGAAACCATACATGCAACAGTGCATGTGAGAGTGAGTAATTGTGAGCCTGTGAAGAATGGGACCTGTGCTTCTGCATGCGCTGGATTTGAAAGCCACCGAAGAGGCTCGAAGGCTCAAAGATAAAGAGAAAATTATAATTCCATGGTGCACTGCATGCCCTTCATTTACTACAAAGACGTTATACTTATTTCTCAATTGCCTTTACTAGCTCATGTTTTTGTCTCCAATTGACCATATTTGGACCACCTTAACATGGCTGATGGCCCAATAATCTTCATTGGGGATCTGGGATATTGACAAATTTTAATTTTGCAGAAAGGGAAGCTAACCTTGATAAAGTTACGGTTATTTAAAAGCGTTTTTACCTCTTGCGAAGTGATTTCCGGAGACATGATTTTTCTTCATGCATATTTTTCTTTATTTTTGAATTTTGAATCAAGTAAAATAAGGACAAACCAAGAAAGATACAAATAAACTATAGTGTGCAGAAGAAGAAAAAAAGTGTTTATAAATCATTTCCCTTAACAGTACTAAGAAGAGTAGTATAAATGACTTTTTCTTGGTTGAATGATTATTAGGGATTGGACATGAGAAACTTTATCCCTTCTGATTCTACCATTATATGAGGAATGGTAGGAATAAGTTTCGTTCACGAATAATTCTTTTCAACTTTCAAGTTAGACGAAACTCCTTCATTTATTACTTCAATATAGTGAATCATAAACACCTAACCAGCCCAGTACTACGAAACAGCTAAACACAATGCGAAGTAGTAGTAAAAAAGGTTTAAAAAATCAAGCTTAAAGACGATGCATGAAATCTAGATTACTGCATTCAAACCAGTGTACCTGAAAGCTGTAGATCACCCCATTAGCAAATTTAAGTATGCAATTAGGCATCAATATTTGAAACGAATGATCGATCAACTTTTGCTGATTAACAAGAGGAAATTGAAGAATGAATGATCGATCATAGAACTGGATTAGAAATAGAACTGGGGGAATGGGATTCCCTTTGAAGGGAATAATACTTGAAAATATGCAAAGTTAGTAAGATATATAGCTCGTTGACAAAAAAGACAAAAGGAAAAAAAAGAAAGATATATAGCTGAATAATATTATAAATTGGTTGATCAGTTGCAATTTCACATCACAGGATGTCTTTGTAGTTTTTTCTTTTTCTTTAACAAATGATATTAACTACACTAAGAAGGTGGAAGAGTGTGCTAAGTCTTACAATGGAACTAGCAATAATGTGATTCAAATTTGTTTTTAGCGAGAATCAAACTTAAGACATCTCACTTATAAGTGAAGAAAAATATCACTAAACCGTAGTCCTAAGTAGCTTTTTTGTTTTGAATGTGACATATATATTGGAGATAAGATATCGATGCATTGTTTCGTTTTAAATTGATTAGTCCTAGGTGCTTAATGCTTGCATTTACACTGGGAAGTTTGACTAATAAACGTCATTTTCTAATTTACTCCCCAGAATAAATATCAGTTAGTTTCACCAAATTAATGCTTGTAGCTAGAGACATTCGTGCTTCTATAAATATTGCATTTCGATGATTTTCTTGCGCATGCTTTATCATAATATCATGCTTGTCGCTTGTAGCTTGAGAACCAAGCAAAAACGGACCATTTTTTTTGTAAAGAAAGTTTGCTGAATTAGTGGTTATTTATTTTAGTGTGTGTTTCAGATTCAGTCTTTTGATTTAAGTTCAACAAAACAACGGTACTCGTGGGTCCCAAATCATAAAATTTGTAAAAAGATTAGGGTTTTGTATGTTCATGGGAAGGCCATTTGACCCTAGCATTATTATTAATTTATTACTTTCATAATATTGCATGATGGTGTGTAAAAGAGCAAGTTATAATCAGTTTTTATCAAATAACAACGATCCTTAAAACGTGTCCAGAAAGTAGTTGAAAGGTGGTGGAAGGTTGTAGTTGTGGGACTTCAAATATATCACATAATAATAAAAGGTCTATTTGATTACTTTATCCTCTCTATTTTTCTCTTACTTGCAACTTTTCCATCTACAGAATGCCTATAAAAAACAGCAGGATTTGGCCCCACTTGCCTAAAAGCGGAGAGCAATTTATTTGGAATATGTTCTTCATCACACGACGTTTTGATTTAATAATACAACGTTATGAGTTAAGAAACTGCACGTGTTATTATTTTATTAGTACATGCACTATAATAGGAGTGAACTTGATCCATGTAAATGAAGATTTACTTACACCCTGGTAAGCCATTGTGGTTTCCAAATAAATGCTGTAATATTATGTGTTTTACTTTTTTCATAAAGTATTACATTATTAATTTGAGATGTCATGTTTTCGAAGCTGTAGGGAAATCTCTCTCTTAAAAGAGAAGCTGAGATCTTTGTTTAGTGAAAATGGCGGTTTGAAATAGGTGGTGGATCAGATCAGAGGTAGGTGGAAGGGTTCTGTGATGGCAATGGAAGTCTCAGTCACCAAGTTAATCATGTTTAAATGATGAGTTCACTGATGGAAAAAGAAATTTTAAGAAAGGATTTGATAAGAAATGAATCACTTACTGCAATTGGTTTTGTATGAGCTTGCAAAGCAAGAAACTTGGCTTAACTTTGTTTTCTACGATTGCTGGAGACTCTGAGTAAAGCTTAATCCACTTATGCTGTTTTGTGAATGGAAAAATTGGGTTGTTGAGGGGGCACTACAAGAGAAAAAAACTCACTTTCGGTGATATGCTGACGGCATGTTAAGTCAATCATGCACTGTTTTTATCACTTTATTATATTTATTTTTTTTTTTTTATGTAATACATGATTGAGTTCAAATACCGTCAATATAGCATTCCAGATGTAGGTAAGGTTCTCTCGCACTTCAAATGTCAAAGGCTCCAACCCCTTCAATCTTTTATAATGGTAATTCTTGTTGAGCATGAAATCTATGCAAATCAAACAAACTTTAATACAAAGGGTAGCATTGCTGTACTGCATAAAATTACATCACATACTTTTCTTCCTTGAAATTTTATTTGTTTTACTTGCAGCAGTTCGGAAGAAGAATAGAAGGGCTCTCTAAGATGAGGCACTTGCACGCAGTGCAACCAAAGAAGCATAAATGCCATCCTGGATATTGATCAAAGCTTCATGCTTTCCTTTTTCTGCAATCACTCCGTTTTTCAACACCGCGATTAAATCTGCACTCTTAATCGTGGATAACCGATGAGCAACCACCACTGTGGTTTGATCCACCTTGACTCGGTCCAATGCGTCTTGAACAACTCGTTCGGATTCAGCATCAAGACCACTTGTGGCTTCATCTAGTAGTAATATCTTTGGCGCCTTCATTATCGCTCTTGCAATTGCCACCCTTTGCTTCTGTCCACCAGACAATTGATCCCCCCGCTCTCCTACGATTGTATCGTAACCCTACATTGTTTTCAAAATTTAACATGTATAATCTTCAACGTTCATAATATTGTTTGTGAGTTTTTATCAACTAGTCCTCGTTAATGCAACACAACGGTAAGGAAACATGCAAAAATAGAGAACACGGTTAGAAACAATAACCGAATTGGTAAAATTGAAACGTTGGGGAGGCACTATACGGATAATAAGTCGTATGTAAACTGTTGTTTAAGTCTACCGTTATTGTCTATTTAGTAACCCATCAGTTTCTAATTCTCATCAAAAGTTTGTGACCGGTTCTATTTGTGCATACATAGACAAAGTTGTTTAGTTAGTGCCTACCTGTTGTAAACTACAAATGAACTTGTGAGCATTTGCCAATTCTGCTGCAGCTATAATTTCAGCCTCTGTTGCAGTCCCTTCCTTTCCATATGCAATGTTGGCTCGGATAGTGTCATTAAACAATACAGGCTCTTGGCTCACCAGCCCCATTTGTTGCCTCAACCACTTCAACTGTAGCCTTTGGATTTCGATTCCATCTAGTGTAATGTGACCCAAATCAGGGTCATAAAATCTCTGCAACAATGAGACTACTGTCGATTTTCCACTTCCACTTTCTCCAACCAGAGCAACTGTCTGAACAATACAAGATCAAGTTATAAGTTCCGGTAACTTAAATCCGATTATGAGGTCCAAATCTTATGCATTGAATTAAATTGATTAAATGAACGATACATGGTAGTAAGTTACCTTGCCATGATGGATGGTCAAGCAAAGATCCTTGAAGATTGGCACATCAGGCCTAGTTGGATATTTGAAACTGACATGGCATAATTCAATTTCTCCCTTCAGATTTTCTATAGTTGTTCCAGAGTTGTCACCGGAATCTATTTTTGATTTCCGGTCGAGAATTGCAAATATGGATGCAACAGCGCTCTTTCCTTTACTAATATCGGGGGCTAGGGAATCCGACTGAGAAATTCCAACAGTTGCTATAGTGAGAGCAAAGAAAACCTACAAACCAGAAGAGCAAATTTCAATATGTATTGAATGGAATACAAAGATTTCAATCTTAAGTAACAAAAACTTATTTAGCAGAAGCACTCTGTACTATTTTCTACTCAAAACTTGTAGTGCAAGGCAGAAAATATACCCGGAAAACATCAGCAAATGTTGTCTTGCCTTCTGCAACAAGTCGGGATCCAGCATAAAAAATACAGGCAAACACAGAAAATTGCAAAAATAATGATAGACCAAATCCTATCCCACTGATTAAGCTTTGTCTTATCCCCGTCTTAATAAGGCCTTCACATTTTCTCTGGTACAATTCAACCACCTTCTCTTCAGCACAAAAGGAAGCAATTGTTCTAATACTTCCTACAGCATCATTTGCTACTTGACTTGCCTCCTCATACATTCTCTGCAACCATTTAGAATTTTCCGTATTGATAAAACTGGCTTAGTCTTATATTAAATTATGCATGTGAGACTGAATTGTGTTACAAAGTTTGGACTTCGGAGATATTACCCTTGCATTTGCACTGGATCCTTTCGTGAACTTGAATTGAAAATAACCATTTACCCCTAAAAGAGGCAACAAAACAATGATTTTAAGAGCGAGTTGCCAATTTGCAACAAACGCAATGTGCAAGCCAGCAATTGCAGTTGCTAAATTCTGAACCAGAAAACCAAGAGCATCTCCAACCAACCCTCGCAGGTAAGCCACATCTGCAGAAAGCGTTGCACCAATTGCACCACTTGAGTGCTCAGGATCTTCAAACCAACTTACTTCCATGTAAACCACCTTCTCAAAGCACATTGATCGGACTCGTTTTATTAACCTATTTCCCGCCACAGCGAAAAGGTATTGTCTTGATGGAAATGTTATGCAAGACCCCACACCAAGAACAAAGAAGATTAATGCCCAAAACTTGGAATTGTTTCGGAGTAGATGAGGTGGCTCAAATAAGGTCTTGATTACATTGCCAACCACTAGCCCAAAAATAGGTAAGACTACCCCATTGGCTATTGCAGCTATAGTAGCTAGTAATAAAACTGGGATCTCTGGCTTGTTCAGGTATGCCAGGCGGCAAAGTGAGACTTCTGGAGGTACTCTTGATGATTCTTGTAGACAAGGGCAGTTAGGATGAGCTGTTAGGGCAGTCAAGATGAGCTGTTATCATTTAAATGTACTTTGTATTTAATTGTATTATATAGCTGCTATAGGAACCCCTATATTCTGTAGACCTCTTGGTGTATAAAGGCTTGTAAAGGTTACCCAAAAGTTAATGAAAATCTGAAACTTCACATGGTATTGAGCCTCTGATCCTTTTTTTCCATGGCTTCCGCAACTTCCTCTCCTTCATCTCCCATCCCAAATATTTCTACACTAGTTTCTGTCAAACTTTCTGAGTCTAATTACTTACCTTGGGAAAGTCAAGTTAAGCCATTCTTGATTGGCCAAAACTTTTGGCGTTTTGTAGATGGAACACACCCGTGCCCTCCTTCCTTTCTCACCACCACCACTCATGCCCCTTCACCAAATGCCTCTGCGGATTCAGACTCCTCCACAGTGGTGCCTCCTGTGACTACTAGCATTCCCAACCCCGACTACCTGGTGTGGTACCAGACTGATCAAACACTTGTCAGCATGTTGCGTGCTACGCTTACAGAGCCTGTTCTTTCTTTAACCGTCGGGTTGTCTACTTCTCGTGAGATTTGGGAGCATCTTCGTCAAAATTTTTCTCAACAATCCCTTGCCAACTCTACCCATACTCGCTTTCAGTTGCTGTCTCTTCAGAAAGGTACTAAAACAATTTCGGACTATCTGGGTCTTGCCAAACACTTGGCAGATCAATTGGCTTCTATTGGCCAACCTGTTCAGAATGATGATTTGGTGACTTATGTACTAAATGGCTTGGGGCCTGAATATGAGATTCTTGTCTTGGCGTTGACCAACTTCCCTCCTCTACCGTCATTCAACGATTTACGTGCTCGTCTTCTGGTTTATGAATCCAAACATGCTATGTCTCAAGCTACTTTGGCTCCCTCCGCTTTCTACTCCGCACGTAATTCTGGTAGTAATCTCTCTCAGGGACGTGGTAATTTGTCCTCCCGCCCTCATGGCACTTCAAGTAGCAATCGGCTTCCTCGTACTTATGGTGGTGGTCGTTCTCCTATGCATGGTGGTGCTGGTCGCTATGGTCAGCGTGCTACACATCAACGCCCTGGCATACTTGGACCTGGTCCTGCTACTCGTGGCCCTCAATGTTGGTCATGCAATCAATTTGGTCATATAGCTGCGTTGTGTCCTCGAGCGCCTCGTTCTGATGATGACATCTCTCGAGCTTTCGCTGGCATGCACATTGCTTCCCCTTCTGATCCTACGTGGTATCCGGACACTGGTGCTACTCACCATATGACAAGTGACTCTCGTTCCATTACTTCGGCTACGGGGTATGGTTCTAATGACAAGGTTGTTGTGGGTAATGGTGAGACCCTCCCTATTGCGCACACTGGTAATATTTCTTTTAAGTCCGGGTCGTTCATTTTTCGGTTCTCCCAAGTTTTGCATGTTCCAGCAATTCGGAAAAATTTATTGTCGGTTGCTAAGTTTACACATGATAATCTTGTTAGTCTAACGTTCTTTCCATGGGGTTTTGTCGTACGTGACTTAAAGACGGGTGTTGTTCTTTTTCAGGGCCCATGTGAGGATGGTCTTTATCCCATTAAGCTTGGTCTTGCTTCTAGCAATGGGTCTACTGCCAAACATGCTTTTGCTTCCATTTTTGCGTCACCCTCACTTTGGCATCGTCGTCTTGGACATCCCTCCCGTCAAGTTCTTAGTGTGTTAGCATCTCGTGATGTACTAGGCTCATCCTTTCCTATCTCCACTAAAGATTTTTGTAATTACTGTGCGTTGGCTAAATCCCATCGCCTAGCATTTACGTCTTCCGAACACCTTGCTATGACCCCTTTTGAATTAATACATTCTGATGTTTGGATGTCTCCTGTTGTGTCGGTGTCGGGTTTTCGTTACTATGTCTTGTTTACGGATGATTACACACGATACACATGGATTTATCCCATGCGTAAGAAGTCTGAGGTCTTTAATCACTTTAACAATTTTATTACTTTCATTTTTAATCAGTTTTCTACAATGGTTAAAATACTCCAAAGTGATGGGGGTAAAGAATATGATAATTTGTCCTTTCGTCAATTGTGTGCGCATAAAGGGATTCACCATAGATTTTCTTGTCCACATACCCCGCAGCAAAATGGACTTGCAGAACGGAAGCACCGTCATATCTCAGAAATGGGACGCACCATGTTACTTGCTGCCAGTCTTCCGCATAAATTTTGGGCTGAGGCACTTTGCACCGCTGTTTATATAATTAATCGGCTACCCACTCCTGTTCTCAAGTGGGCTTCTCCGTTTCAAATTTTATTTGGCCGAGCTCCTGATTATATGTTTTTGCGCACGTTTGGGTGTGCTTGTTTCCCATATCTTGGTGATTATGCAACTAACAAACTACAACCCAGATCCTTGTCATGTGTTTTTCTTGGCTACAGTGACAAATATAAAGGCTATCGTTGCTTCCATCCCCCAACTGGACGTGTCTACCTGTCCCGCCATGTTACGTTCAATGAAGATGATTTTCCATTTCACTTTTCTATGGCATCATCTTCCGTGCCACAATCAGACTTGGTATTTGTTCCCATTGTCCCCATACCTGCCCCACCTCAACCCCACCATGCCCTGTCACCCATGTTGCCCTTAATGCAACCCGTGACTTTGCCTCAAAATCTGGCAGCGTCCTTTCCTGCTGCAATTCAGCAACAAAATATGCATGCACCACCCGTGACCATGCCTTCTCCTCCACATACATCTCCCTTGCCAGTTGGTGGCGTGGAACCCCTACTACCTGCACCACCCGTGACTATGCCTCAAAATATGGAACTAGTTGCTGTCCACACCTCTGCCCCTCTTCCTACGTCAATTCCTACTGCAACTCAGCTGCACCAATCACATCCACATACATCTCATTTGCCAGCTAGTGGCGTGGCTCATGCTCCTTCCTCAGGACCTCACACACGGTCCAAGTCTGGAATTTTCAAACCCAAAACCAAGGCCTACTTTGCTAGTCGTCATCCTATTCCCTCTGCAATGACTGCCCTTGTTGCATCCGATGCGGAGCCCACTTGTTTTACACAGGCCTCACGGTCTCCTCAGTGGCGCAAGGCCATGCTGGATGAGTTCAATGCGTTGCTCAAACAAGGTACATGGACTTTAATTCCTCCCGTTCCTTATGCTAACATTGTCGGATGTAAATGGGTGTTCAAAATAAAACGTCATTCTGATGGGTCGATAGAGCGTTACAAGGCGCGTCTTGTCGCCAAAGGTTTCCATCAACAACCTGGGGTTGATTACACAGAGACCTTTAGTCCCGTTGTGAAGCCTACCACGATTCGAACCGTGCTCAGCCTAGCCGTGTCCTTTGGTTGGCCGATACATCAACTTGACGTGAAGAACGCATTTCTCCATGGTTCACTTATGGAAGAGGTTTATATGGCCCAACCACCTGGATTTGTTGATCCAAGTCGTCCCAAATATGTTTGTAAGCTTCGGAAAGCCATCTACGGTCTTAACAAGCTCCGCGAGCTTGGTTTCAACGCCTAAACACCTTTCTCATGCAGGTCGGCTTTGTTCAAAGTCGAGCAGATAGCTCGATGTTTACATATCATCATGGCTCCACTATCCTTGTTTTTCTTCTATACGTGGATGACATCGTTTTGACTGGTAATTCCTCTCCCTTTATTCAATCCTTTATCCACACTTTGAGCACTGAGTTTGAACTAAAGGATCTCGGCAAGCTGCACTACTTCCTTGGCATTGAGGTATCCTATTTATCCAATGGTATTCACTTGTCTCAGAACAAATATACCTTGGAATTATTACAACGTGGTGACTTATTAGAATGTAAACCTTGTTCCACACCTATAGCAGCCAAGACGCAACTTTCTGCACACACCGGTGCTCCCCTCTCGGATCCATCTCTTTATAGGCAACTTGTGGGTTCCTTGCAGTATCTTACGTTAACTCGGCCGGACATTTCCTTTGCTGTACAAAATGTTTCTCAGTTTATGGGTCATCCTACTACTGCTCACATGGAAGCGGTTAAGCGAATATTGCGTTATCTTAAGGGCAGCTTGGGTATGGGCCTTTGCTTAACTTCCTCTTCACAACCATTTTGTCTCATTGCTTATTCTGATGCGGATTGGGCAGGGTGCCCTGACACACGTCGCTCTACCACTGGCTTTTGTATTTTCCTTGGTGACAATCTGATTTCTTGGTGTGCTAAGAAACAACGGACGGTCTCTCGATCCAGTGCCGAAGCGGAGTATCGGGCTCTTGCCTTTGCATGTGCTGATTCTATTTGGATAGCAGGTCTTTTGCGTGAGCTTCGTGTCCCAGTCTTTGAGCCAATACTGATGCATTGTGACAATCTGAGTGCCACATATATGGCTGCTAATCCGGTCTTTCATGCTCGCACGAAACACATTGCTTTGGATTATCATTTCGTCCGGGAACGTGTTGCTTCCGGAACTCATCGTGTTCACTTTCTTCCTTCCATTTCGCAACTGGCTGATCTTTTTACGAAAGGCCTATCGAAGACGCGTTTTCAGTCCTTGTGTTCCAAACTTGTCTCTTCTCCGGCGTCAAGTTTGCGGGGGAGTGTAGACAAGGGCAGTTAGGATGAGCTGTTAGGGCAGTCAAGATGAGCTGTTATCATTTAAATGTACTTTGTATTTAATTGTATTATATAGCTGCTATAGGAACCCCTATATTCTGTAGACCTCTTGGTGTATAAAGGCTTGTAAAGGTTACCCAAAAGTTAATGAAAATCTGAAACTTCACAATTCTGAATCAGGAATATCAGATTCTGCAGGTGCTACTTCAAGGACACCTAGTGCAGCGGGCACATCATATGAGATTGAGAAGGAATGACGTCTGTTATTTCCTCCTCCAGATGATCCCCGACTTATAGATCGTCTGTGTGAAATTATTTGACTTTGATTCTGGGAACCCACACTACTACGCCTTTCCTGATCATTCACAGCAGTCTTGTCTGACGTATTGTTCATTTCTTGCAACCTTATAAGCTGGCTATATGCTCCTTCAGGGTGCTTAACTAGCTCAGAATGTGGACCTGCTCAGTTCAAAAAATGGGTCTGTGGAGTAATTATTGACGAACATTAAACAGTAATAGCTGTTGCACAAATGATTGTTGAACTACTGACAGTAAGATTTGGCACTTAAATGGTAGAACAGGACAATATGAATAACGCATTACCTTTTTCAACGATTGTCCCTCTATGTAGAACAGCAATGGAGTCGACGTTTCTTACTGTGCTCAAACGGTGGGCTACAATGACAGTAGTGCGGTTAATCATAATTCTGTCTAATGCCTCCTGTACAACTCTCTCAGATTCTGCTTCAAGCGCGCTTGTGGCTTCATCTAAAAGTAGAATTCTTGGGTCTTTCAGGATTGCTCTAGCTATAGCAACTCTTTGCTTTTGGCCCCCAGAAAGCTGAGTCCCATGCTCACCAACCATTGTGTCTAGTCCCTAAAAGCATGTCACAAAATGACGATAGAGGAAAATAAAAATATGTAAGATCACTGGATGTCTCAACACGCTTTCATCATTGCGGAAAAACTTCACAGAAAATTATGAGAAACTTAGATAAAAGCAACGAATTTAACCTGAGGCAGATTGTCTATGAATTCAGCAGCATTGGCAAGCTCTGCAGCGGCCCTTATTTCTTCGTTAGTTGCACCGTCCTTCCCATAGGCGATGTTATCTTTTATACTACAAGGAAACTGTTAGGATGCCAGATGGCATCATCTTGTGGTGACAGTCTTCCCTTGGGCTTGAGTATCTAACATTGGTATCAGAGCCTAGGTTCCCGACGCTGCGGAGGGGGCAACCTGGAAAGGGCTACCTTAACGGGATGACCAAAGGGTGCACCGCCGTTAAGAGTGAAAGCCACCAGAGTAAGGGCCACCGTGGACGTCGGCTTCCGAAGGGTGGTGTAATGTTATGATCCCACATCGACTACACTTATGGGGGTGTAGGGGTTCTTAAGTCCTTGGGGTCCTCCCACCCATTGGACTAGTCAATAGATTTACTGATGACATTGGGAGGCTTATGCCCTTCAACTAATGGAATTTTGTGATCATGATGTCGATGCGGAGGTAGTGTGGTAGGAGTTGAAAACAGTACCTCATATTCTTGTAACAAAGAATGCAAGTCCTGTTGCTGTTGCGGATTGAGATTTTGGGATGGATTGTCACTGAGAACATGATCAGCACAAGAAACGGGAACAGGCACTGGTTCGATTTGATACAGTATTGCTCCTACTGTGCTGTCTTGTTGAAGAAGTTTCTGCATTTGCATAGCTGTGATATCCTCCATTTGGTGCAGGGTAGATATTGGACTAGTGATACAAAAAGTTTGAGAGCCTTTTGAGAATTGCATGGAGAGCTTGTCGAAATCCCACAGTATTGGCCCAAGAGTCCGTAGCCATTGAACTCCTAGTACCACGTCGCAACCCCCCAAGGAAACTGCAAAGACTCAGTTTTGAGTCAATAGATTTACTGGCAAGCTGCAAAGACTCAGTTTTTTGTGTTGATATCGATCGTTCCATGGGCTACTACTGCAAGGGAATTCGTGACAAGGGTGGAACAATTAGTCAGAGGCTCTTCACTTCGAAGTCCAAGAATCAAGATTGTGTTATAGGTTCTGATTGTTCCAAGGTGATCAAATGTGAGGTGAGTTTTGATTCTTCCATGATCATTAATGCGGAGGATGCTGGTAATTTGGGATTGCATCAGTTAGAAGCTTGTATGGACAAGAATAGAAAACATGAAAGAAAGTTCACTTTCTCCAGATTTGGAAATGGTTGTTGTGTTGTTTGTTGTGTTGTCCTCGATCGTGACTACTGCAAGGGCATCCGGGATAAGGATGGTGGCTCAAAATTTAGGATATACACTGTCGGAGGAAAATCTCTGGATCTACATCTCCTTTTTGTTGAAGTCACATCTCGTGGTGGGCTTGACAAGGTGATTAGAGATCACAAATGGAAAGCAGTGATTGTGGCCTTCAAATTTCCAACGACAATTACTAGTGTTTCGTTTGTCTTACGGAAGTACTACTTGTCTTTGCTGTATCACTTTGAGCAGGCCTATTATCTCCATAAAGAAGTTTTTAGCACCCCAGTGCTTAAACCAGTAAGCGAGGACCTTTTCAATGGGTCAGCCACCGTGAAGGAAAGTGCAGAAGTGCAATTTGGCTCTTCAATCATGGGAACCATTGATGGGAAATTTGACGGTGGATATGTGGTTACTGTCAACTTGGGTTCTGATGAACTGAAAGGTGTCTTGTATCATGCTCCTACAGCTACATATGTTTCTCAGAGTTTTTTGGACATGCCAACTCGACGGAACCGAAAGAGATCCAGGTTGGCATTACGTGATCCCTCTCGACCCAAGTCCAAAAGGAGCAGTTACAATTTCTTCTTTGCTGAGCATTATGCTAGAATCGCCAATGTTCTGAATGCTCCATTTAGTTCAAGTTCCATAAAGTTCGAGTACTTTGTGTCAAACGTTCTGACAGCAAAGAGTGATGTCTACGGAGTTGGAATGGTGCTATTGGAGCTTTTGACAGGGAAGAGGGCTCTGTTTAGAAATAGTGAAGACGGAGGTCCAATGGTGGTTGTGGAATACGCAGGGCAGCGAATAGTGGCAGGGAAGCTGCAAGGCATGTTGGATCAAAGGGTGGGGAAGCCGGACCCGAAGCAAGGCGAGGCTGTTGAGCTAGTGGCTTATACTGCTATGCATTATGCTAAACAGAGGAAGTTGGATGTCGCTTTCATTGGTGCAAAGTACATGCTAAAGCTGGAAAATAGGTGTAGTGTTGTAGTGGCAATTTATTTGGTCAATACCATTGTTCGTCTTTTTGGGAGGGTGTAATGTGGAGTCAATTTTTAGGCAGTGAGTTACTCTGCTGAGAAGCAATGCTGCTGCTAGTGAAGTGAGTCCAATGGTAGAACCATTTCAGGAGTGATATCTTTGAGTTGTTCTATTTCATCGTAGTTCTGTACTTGACTTTTATTTCCCCAGTTCTGTTTTAAGGGGGGAGTATTGTTAGGATGCCAGATGGCATCATCTTGTGGTGACAGTTAGAGTGGGTATTAGCATAAATAGGAGATTGTAAAGATAGAAAGGAGTTAATGAAATTGTATTGTTTATATTGTTCTTTTGTTACTCTCTCTGTGCAATTGTGGAAGATGTAGAGTAGGGTTCTAACAGAAACCAAACAGGTTCCTGGCTGACGAGGCCTATTTTCTGTCGGATCCATTTCAGCTGGAACTCTTTCAGATTAATACCATCAATAAGAACTTCCCCAGCTTGGGGGTCATAAAATCTCTCAATCAAACTGATTACAGTTGATTTACCACTTCCGCTTTCTCCAACCAAAGCAGCAGTTTCACCACTAGGTATTGAGAGAGAAAATCCATGGAATAATTGTTCATCAGGCCTTGCAGGATAACTAAAATAAACATCCCTCAGTTCCATCTCTCCACGTATATCCTGTAACTGCTGCCCATTAGTGTCATAAGCATCTATATCCGGCTTTCTGTTAATCGTCTCAAACATCTTATAGGCTGCAGCTTGTCCAGCAGCAAATGCACTCATGCATGGAGATGCATTCCCAAGAGACCTGAAAATACGAATACATGTTCATATCTTGATACTTAAACATCAAATGTCTAATTTTGGAGTGAAGGGGGGACGGGGAGTAAATAAAAATTGCATTCTTACTGTACAACAACAACAACAACAACAAAGCATTTTCCCACTAAGTGGGGTCGGCTATATGAATCCTAGAACGCCATTGCGCTCGGTTTTGTGTCATGTCCTCCGTTAGATCCAAGTACTCAAGTCTTTTCTTAGGGTCTCTTCCAAAGTTTTCCTGGGTCTTCCTCTACCCCTTCGGCCCTGAACCTCTGTCCCGTAGTCACATTTTCGAACCGGAGCGTCAGTAGGCCTTCTTTGCACATGTCCAAACCACCGGAACCGATTTTCTCTCATATTTCCTTCAATTTTGGCTACTCCTACTTTACCTCGGATAACCTCATTCCCAATCTTATCCTTTCTCGTGTGCCCATACATCCCACGAAGCATCCTCATCTCCGCTACACCCATTTTGTGTACGTTGATGCTTCACTGCCCAACATTCTGTGCCATACAACATTGCTGGCCTTATTGCCGTCCTATAAAATTTTCCCTTGAACTTCAGTGGCCTACGACGGTCACACAACACGCCGGATGCACTCTTACACTTCATCCATCCAGCTTGTATTCTATGGTTGAGATCTCCATCTAATTCTCCGTTCTCTTGCAAGATAGATCATAGGTAGCGAAAACGGTCACTTTTTGTGATCTTCGCTAGATTGCTCCGGTCATTAGTGTGGATAAGTATATAAATGGATAGAGATAGGAAAGCAAACACAAGATGTACGTGGTTCACCCAGATTGGCTACGTCCACGGAATAGAGGAGTTCTCATTAATTGTGAAGGGTTTACACAAAAGCAAACACAAGATGTACGTGGTTCACCCAGATTGGCTACGTCCACGGAATAGAGGAGTTCTCATTAATTGTGAAGGGTTTACACAAGTACATAGGTTCAAGCTCTCCTTTAGTGAGTACAAGTGAATGATTTAGTACAAATGACATTAGGAAATATTGTGGGAGAATGATCTCGTAGCCACGAAACTTCTAAGTACCGGAGTGTGGTATCGTCTTGACTTGCCTTATCTGTCTCATAGGTAGATGTGGCATCTTCTCTGGAAGTACTTTTCCTCCATCCAGGGGTGGTATCTATAACTGGTGGAGATGCACAAGGTAATGTATCAATTTCACTTGAAGCTTACTTGTAGTTTCATGCTTGGTCAAGCGCGATACAAACCATGTAGTAGGAGTCCCCCAAGTCACCGAGCTAGGGGATCTGCTGAAAGAGGTGACAGACAAGGTAAGCAATCAGAGCTCCGGCTGATTGTTTACATTCTCCCTATCTTGCAGGCAGCATGAAGGATAAAGAGAAGAAAAATGAGGAGAGATGATATGGGATACTTTTGCTTTTGAAGAAGTAACTTTCCACAGGCTTATTCTTGAACTGGGCTGGAGGGTTTTCTGGTTTCCTCCAGAGTATAAGGCCGACTGAAGAATTTGATGGTCAAAACAAGTCCATCAAATCTAGAGTACGTTCGACCCTGCTGATATGGGATACTTTTTGCTTTTGACAGAGTAGTGGATGTATCGGCACGTGTGCTGTTACGCTTGTCTCCACATGCTTCCTTGTATCCTTCTCACTTGCCCTATTTGTTCCTCAGGCAGATGCGGTATCTTCCCTGGAAGCATAAGATGTTGAAGATGAGTACTCGAGAGCAATGCCAGGTAAGTAATCAGGTAAGGGGTTCCAGGCAGTCAGTTCCTGGCTGGAAGCTTGATTCCAAGTGCTGACTGATTGCTCTCTTTCTCCTTGTCTTGCAGGTAAGAACAAGGCCAAAGGAAAAAGACAGGGAAAAAGCATGATATGGGATACTCTTGCTTTTAACCCTGATGATATGAGATATTCTTGCTATAGTATAGCTTGTTTACAGAGGTATTATCGGGGGGAAAGAAAGCTGAATATTTCGAAAGGCTTCGTTGGGAGTGCCCTCTCAGATAAGAGAAAGGGTTGAGCATTTTTGCAGGTCTGCCTGTCCGTTAGGGATGGAGGTCGACATATATAGGAGTCTCCCTAACATCAAGTAATAATAATGCTATTCCTTTACCCTGCTTGGTTTATAGCACGGTAGTGGGAGCTGCCAGCTTCACATGTTTTAACCCTGTCAGAGCACTTTGAAAAAGTGGTCTGTGGTATCTGGAAAGCTGATGTTGCGTGTGAAGATTACAGACAAGCTTTATCCAAGGAGATCCAGCTCTTGAAGTTGGGAAAGTGGTGCCTCTTCGATTTTCGAACAAGCAATCCTGTCGGGGATCTGGCTCTCGAGATTCGGAGAACGATGCCTCTTCGATTTTTGAGAAAGCAATCCTGCTGAGGGTCTGGCTCTCGAGATTCGGAGAGCGGTGTCTCTTCGATTTTTGAGAAAGTAATCATGTTGGGAGTCTGGCTCTCGAGATTCGGAGGGCGGTGCCTCTTCGATTTTGGAGCAAGCAATCTTGTTGGGAGTGTTTTCTCGAATGTGAGTAAATGTTGGACGTGTTTGCTAGTCTACCTTGCCACGAAGCATAGAGGTTGACACACAGGGACTTTCCAATTCTCCAGCAGTGGTACTGTTCCTTTACCCTCTCTTCGATTTTTGAGAAAGTAATCATGTTGGGAGTCTGGCTCTCGAGATTCGGAGGGCGGTGCCTCTTCGATTTTGGAGCAAGCAATCTTGTTGGGAGTGTTTTCTCGAATGTGAGTAAAGGTTGGGCATGTTTGCTAGTCTACCTTGCCACGAAGCACAAAGGTTGACACACAGGGACTTTCCAATTATCCAGCAGTGGTACTGTTCCTTTACCCTCTCTTCGATTTTTGAGAAAAAGTAATCATGTTGGGAGTCTGGCTCTCGAGATTCGGAGGGCGGTGCCTCTTCGATTTTGGAGCAAGCAATCTTGTTGGGAGTGTTTTCTCGAATGTGAGATGTGAGTAAGGTTGGGCATGTTTGCTAGTCTCTACCTTGCCACGAAGCACAGAGGTTGACACACCGGGACTTTCCAATTTATCCAGCAGTGGTACTGTTCATTTACCCTTGTGGGTAATAATATGGTAGCTAGACCTTCAAAATTTATGTGTTTAAACTTTGTTAGTGTTGTTTCTTTGCAATTCTTTTACCCTTCTGGTGGTCAGAGCGATGTAGTGGGAGCTGCAAGCTTCACGTGTCTCAACTTTGTCAGAGAACTTTGGCAAAGTTATCTGTGGTACCCATGAGCTACTGTTGCGTGTGGGAAGTGGGTGATTGAACAGTACGATTCATGTGCTTTCTACTTCGTCCAGAAATCTTCGACAGAATGCCCATAATTTCCGCAAAGCTGAGTGTGCGTGTGACAGGTGCTGACAAGGCTGGAAAAGTAGGTGCCTCTTCGATTTCTGAGATCGGCCCTCGTGGTTTCTGAGCATCCCAGCTTTTGAGAAAGCAAGCCTCTTCGATTTCTGAGATCGGCCTTCGTGGTCTTTGAGCAGCCCAGCTTTTGAGAAAGCAAACGCCTCTTCGATTTCTGAGATCGACCCTCGTGGTCTCTGAGCAGCCCAGCTTTTGAGAAAACAAACGCCTCTTCGATTTCTGAGCAGGCGCCTCTTCGATTTCTGAAGCTTCGTCGAATGCAGATTTTTATAGGGGCTGACATTAAGTTCCAAAGCACACTTGAATATCCACCAGTAGAAGCTCAATTCTTGCACTTCTAAGATCTTGATTTGTCTTGAACCTTGTTGAAGAGGCAGCCCCGCCTTCTCCAGACAACATATGGCGCCCATCCTTCGTCTCCCCTACTGGTCCTCTTACCGTTGGGGATTCCGTGATGAAGAATGATATGACCGCTGCGGTAGTGGCCAGGAACCTTCTCACTCCCAAAGATAACAGACTACTTTCCAAACGGTCTGATGAGTTGGCTGTTAAGGATTCTCTGGCTCTCAGTGTTCAGTGTGCAGGTTCTGTGTCTAATATGGCCCAACGCCTATTTGCTCGAACCCGCCAAGTTGAATCATTGGCGGCTGAAGTGATGAGTCTCAAACAGGAGATTAGAGGGCTCAAGCATGAGAATAAACAGTTGCACCGGCTCGCACATGACTATGCTACAAACATGAAGAGGAAGCTTGACCAGATGAAGGAATCTGATGGTCAGGTTTTACTTGATCATCAGAGATTTGTGGGTTTGTTCCAAAGGCATTTATTGCCTTCGTCTTCTGGGGTTGTACCGCGTAATGAAGCTCCAAATGATCAACCTCTGATGCCTCCTCCTTCTAGGGTTTTGTCCAGTACTGAGGCTCCGAATGATCCTCCTCCGGTGCCTTCTCTTTCTGGGGCTCTACCGACTGCTGAGACTTCTCCTAAGCAACCTTTGTGAAGGCTCCCTCTTGTTTGTTTATTTTGACTCAAGTATATGTACATATTTGTAACTTATCGGGGATATCAATAAATAAGCTTTCCTTCATTTCAACGTATTGTGTTAAATACACCAAAGCCTTCTTCGCTAAGTTCTTTGAATTTTCTTTTGTTGAAGCTTGTACGTTGAAGCTTTGTGAGTGGAGCATATAAGTTGAGGTAGTGTTCCCTTAATTTCCCGAGTGAGGAAAACTTCTTGGTTGGAGACTTGGAAAATCCAAGTCACTGAGTGGGATCGGCTATATGAATCTTAGAACGCCATTGTGTTCTGTCCTGTGTCATGTCCTCCGTTAGATCCAAGTACTCTAAGTCTTTTCTTAGGGTCTCTTCCAAAGTTTTCCTAGGTCTTCCTCTGCCCCTTCGGCCCTGAACCTCTGTCCCATAGTCGCATCTTCTAATCGGAGCGTCAGTAGGCCTTCTTTGCACATGTCCAAACCACCGTAACCGATTTTCTCTCATCTTTTCCTTCAATTTCGGCTACTCCTACTTTACCCCGGATATCCTCATTCCTAATCTTATCCTTTCTCGTGTGCCCACACATCCAACGAAGCATCCTCCTCATCATCTCCGCTACACCCATTTTATGTACGTGTTGATGCTTCACCGCCCAACATTCTGTGCCATACACAGCATCGCCGGCCTTATTGCCGTCCTATAAAATTTTCCCTTGAGCTTCAGTGGCATACGGCGGTCACACAACACGCCGGATGCACTCTTCCACTTCATCCATCCAGCTTGTATTCTATGGTTGAGATCTCTATCTAATTCTCCGTTCTTTTGCAAGATAGATCCTAGGTAACGAAAACGGTCGCTCTTTGGTATTTCTTGATCTCCGATCCTCACCCCTAACTCGTTTTGGCCTCCATTTGCACTGAACTTGCACTCCATATATTCTGTCTTTGATCGGCTTAGGCGAAGACCTTTAGATTCCAACACTTCTCTCCAAAGGTTAAGCTTTGCATTTACCCCTTCCTGAGTTTCATCTATCAACACTATATCGTCTGCGAAAAGCATACACCAAGGAATATCACCTTGAATATGTCCTGTTAACTCATCCATTACCAACGCAAAAAGGTAAGGACTTAAGGATGAGCCTTGATGTAATCCTACAGTTATGGGAAAGCTTTCGGTTTGTCCTTCATGAGTTCTTACGGCAGTCTTTGCTCTTTCATACATATCCTGTATAGCTTGGATATATGCTACTCGTACTCCTTTCTTCTCTAAAATCCTCCAAAGAATGTCTCTTGGGACCCTATCATACGCTTTTTCCAAATCTATAAAGACCATGTGTAAATCCTTTTTCCCATTTCTATATCTTTCCATCAATCTTCGTAAGAGATAGATTGCCTCCATGGTTGAGCACCCTGGCATGAACCCGAATTGGTTGTCCGAAACCCGTGTCTCTTGCCTCAATCTATGCTCAATGACTCTCTCCCAGAGCTTCATTGTATGACTCATTAGCTTAATACCCCTATAGTTCATGCAATTTTGTACATCGCCCTTATTCTTGTAGATAGGCACCAAAGTGCTCATTCGCCACTCATTCGGCATCTTCTTCGTTTTCAAAAATCCTATTGAAAAGGTTAGTGAGCCATGTTATACCTGTCTCTCTCCCAAAACTTTCCACACTTCGATTGGTATAATCGTCTGGGCCTACTGCTTTTCTATGCTTCATCTTCTTCAAAGCTACACCCACTTCTTCCTTCCGGATTCTACGATAAAAAGAGTAGTTTCTACACTCTTCTGAGTTACTCAACTCCCCTAAAGAAGCACTCCTTTCATGTCCTTCATTGAAAAGATTATGAAAATAACCTTTCCATCTATCTTTAACCGCATTCTCTGTAGCAAGAACCTTTCCATCCTCATCCTTGATGCACCTCACTTGGTTTAGGTCCCTTGTCTTCTTGTCCCTTGCTCTAGCTAGTTTATAGATATCCAACTCTCATTCTTTGGTATCTAGTCGCTTATACATATCGTCATAAGCCGCTAACTTAGCTTCTCTCACAGCTTTCTTCGCCTCTTGCTTCGCTTTTCTATACCTTTCACCATTTTCATCGGTCCTATCCTTGTATAAGGCTTTACAACATTCCTTCTTAGCCTTCACCTTTGCTTGTACCTCCTCATTCCACCACCAAGATTCCTTTTGGTGTGGGGCAAAGCTCTTGGACTCTCCTAATACCTCTTTTGCTACTTTTCGGATACAACTAGCCATGGAATCTCACATTTGGTTAGCTTCCCCCTCTCTATCCCACACACACTGGGTGATTACTTTCTCTTTGAAAATGGCTTGTTTTTCTTCTTTTAGATTCCACCATCTAGTCCTTGGGCACTTCCAAGTCTTGTTCTTTTTTCTCACTCTTTTGATATGTACATCCATCACCAACAAGCGATGTTGATTAGCCACGCTCTCTCCTGGTATAACTTTGCAATCCTTACAAGTTATACGATCCCCTTTCCTCATTAGAAGAAAATCTATTTGTGTTTTTGACGACCCACTCTTGTAGGTGATCACATGTTCTTCTCTCTTCTTAAAGAAGGTGTTGGCTAAGAAGAGATCATATGCCATTGCAAAATCCAAGATAGCTTCCCCATCCTCGTTTCTCTCCCCAAAACCATGGCCACCATGAAAACCTCCATAGTTGCCTGTCTCCCTGCCCACGTGTCCATTTAAATCTCCTCCTATAAATAACTTCTCTGTCTGAGCAATTCCTTGCACCAAGTCTCCAAGGTCTTCCCAAAATTTCTCCTTCGAACTCGTATCCAACCCTACTTGAGGTGCGTACGCACTAATCACATTGATAAGTTCTTGTCCTATTACAATCTTGATTGCCATGATTCTATCTCCTACCCTCTTGACATCTACAACATCTTGTGTCAAGGTCTTGTCCACGATGATGCCAACACCGTTTCTCGTTCTATTTGTGCCCGAATACCAATAGTTTAAACCCTGAGTTTTCTAGATCCTTTGCCTTACGACCAACCCACTTAGTTTCTTGTAGGCACATAATATTTATCCTTCTCCTCACCATAACTTCTACTACTTCCATAGATTTTCCCGTTCAAGGTTCCTATATTCCACGTTCCTAAACGCATTTTGCTCTCTTGAACTCTACCCTTCTGTCCTAGCTTCTTCACCCTTCCCCGTCTAATAGGATCAAAGTACTTCTTTTGTGTGTCCCGTGTAAAGTTGATAGGAGCATATGCTCCCAAACAACTTTGAGTGGAGTCGTTCGAAAAGAAGTTTCTATAGCCCCCTTGCTCATTTAACACTGCATCCGGGTGCCGATGGAGATACAGCGACCCTTGCTCACTTATCACTGTGCTCAGGCCACACAGCGCGCCACTTACGGGTGACGCCCTAGCTTTAGCGCGATTTCGTTCTGGATTCATTTTCATAAGGATTCGACGTGATCATGGAGTGCCGGCTGTCGACTACCTGACGCCCTCCCCCTCCTCCTTTATCCGGGCTTGGGACCGGCAATGTAAGATAAACTTACACGGCGGAGTTAAAAATTGCATTCTTACTGTGCAAAAAAAAAAAAAAAAAAAAAAAAAAACAAAGACATGTTACCAAATTTGTTCATCAAATTTTATAGAAGTGCAACTTACAAGGAGCCAGTCAATACCGCGAAAAGTACGCTTATTACTTCTCCTCCTGTATATCCTCTTTCAAGAATCATCTTTCCTCCAAACCATATAGCCAAAGCATAACTACACATCATAATAAGCATAACCGAACCAATTCCACACCCAGATGCCAAACCTTCTAGCACAGCAGAGTTGTAAGCATCAATTAAGGAATTGTTGTAATTAGATATAGCTTGTTTTTCTCCTGTGAATGATGCAACCTGCATTGGGTATTCCCATTAGTTTTTGCTCTATCCAAAGACATCATTAATATTGTATGGACAAGTAGGCATACAGTTCTAATTGAAACAATCGTTTGCTCCACCACAGTTGCTGCCACTGAATAAGCAGCTTGTCCACGGGTTGCCAATTTCGATACAAGGATGGCCACGACGGCACCAGCAAGGACAAGAGGGGGAATGGAAGATAGCATGACAAGGGCGAGAAGCCATCCCTTAACAAATGCTATAACAAAGCCTCCAATAAATGTTGCAATTAACTGGATAACAGTTCCTACCTGCAATAAGAAAACGAATTTTAAAATTTTAAAATTAAGAGGATACCAGGGAAAACGGCAAACCTTAAGGGTTTTGTGTGGCGTGTAAATACCTTCTCGCCCATGGCCTCTTGAATGAGCACAGTATCACCTGACATTCTCTTAACAATTTCCCCAGTGTTCGTTTCTGTATCGAAAAAGCCAACATCTTGCCTCAATATTGTTTTCAGATACAAACTTCGTATTCGTGCAGCTTGTCTTTCTCCAGTAACCATCCAGCAAGATACCTCTGGCACATGGAAAAGGTTGGTTAAGTCAGTTTCCAATAAGCCAGGTTATTTGTTTAATACCAGCAGGGAGTTCAGTAATACTTACGTAGAAATGCAGCAACACCAGCACCTATAGCCAAGTAAACATTCTTTAGAGCCACCTGAGGATATCGAGTTGGTCAAATTATTTTCCATTAAACCTAGTCAATAACAATTGCTTGTGGCACAATTTACAAATATAAAGAGTTACTCAATGCAGAATTTATTTGGTGGAGGAAGATGAAGAAAGTTGAGGTTTCACCATAAAACTAATTGGCTATATGGGGAGTAGCCCATCTTACTTAGAAGTCTACGCAAGGTCCCTTTTCCCATCCATGTGGGATTCATTCTCAACAGAAGATTATTCTATTTTAGCAACGAAACTGCAGACGTTGACGTAATTTGTAGTTACATAATTTTACCTTGGAAACTGCATCCACCACTTCTTTGGTATTCCCAGTTCTTCCAAAAGAATTAATCACCTCTCCAAAGATTACGGTCATTAGAGGCGTACAGAGCCCATTTCCAATGGCACTGATTGTACCAACAGACATTAACATGTAATCCAAGGTATCCGCAAAGGAGAAAAGCTTGTAATATGGTACTGTTTTCGTGCCATCCTCCTTGTTCTCGCTCGAATCTTGCTTGCTGTTTTTGGAATCCTGGACTGTCGAGTGTCCTTTTAATGTTGCCGTGACCTGCTTCTTCATTACATATCCATCCACAGGATTTTCCACCGCCATTTGTTACAGTTGACTTGTACGATGAGATCAGAGCTGCATGAGAAACAACTTACGGTTTTGAATTAGCAACTTTATTGACTTGTACGATGAGATCAGAGCTGCAAGAGAAACAACTTGTGGTTTTGAATTAGCAACTTTTTTTTCTGAAAATACAAATATATAGTTCATGAGCGCTAAATTGAATTGCATTCCAAGGAACATATGCATATGAAACGAACAATAATAATGCAAAGAACAAAAAGTTTTATTCACGACAAACATAATAGGTTACAAACTTTTAATAAAAAAATAGAATTGGAGGACACTAAACAAATAAACCGTACCGCTCCACGTCAGTCATGCAAAGCACGGAAGCGATAGTTGTTGTCTGTATTGTAAATCAAAAGAACGAATTACAACCTCAGCAGAGGATACAAATGCTATCTTCCACAAAACACAATTAAAAAAGTAATTAACATTGATATCAAATGAAACAAGAGAGAGAGAGAAACCAAGTGGGCGGTTAATGGCATAATGCATGGTAAAGGGGAGACATTTGGAGAACTGAAGAGACATTAGCACAGCATCTTAATTGCAACTTTCAATGTGTTGTAAAAAAATATTTTACAAAAGATAGCGTAAAAAAAAATAAAAAATAAAAAATAAAATTCTGGGAAGGTTGTGTTGTAGTGGGATTAGGATACCTGCATTCATCAGATACTCCGTTCGGCTGCTAGCAACTGGCGACGCAGACGTCCTCCTTGGGTGTCCAGCGGTCCACATATATGCAAGGAGTCGTTGGACCGACGATTTGACATCATTTTACGATTTAAACTTTATAATTAGAATCAGTACTGCTTCTTATCAAGATCATTTTTAGGAATTTTTTTTTATTCAATTAGAAGGCTGTTATGGCACAAGACTGATTCAAAAAGGAAAAAAAAATAGACGGTTAATAAATTTTTTGTTATATTTTTAATAGCATTTGTATATAAAGTACGGCTTCATGCAATTTTTTATTTTTTTTTCTACAAAAGCGAGCAGTAGTGGATAAAATAGTTAATTATCAGGAGAAAGGGGAGTTGGTGGAATCGAACCCACATACCATGGCGCATAGACATCATTATTTTTTGTCACTACGGTAAAACGTCATTTATATGCCTTCTGTTATTCAGTTTATATGATGTGTGCATTTATGTTACAACCACCCCCAATTATTTATATTATAGGGTAAAAGATTGTTTACTACCCTTATGTTTCGTGGTTTTCAACATTTAGTACATCAAGTTTTTTTTGTCTCAGATTCATATCTAAAGTGTAAATTTTGGGACAATCTCAAACATCCGTTAATCAAACTGTTAAGTCTCCCGTTAACTGTAACATGGCACACTGACTAGGCGCCACGTGTCATCCACATTTTTTTGTTTTTTGTTTTTTGTTTTCCTCCTTCTCCTTCTTCATTCCCTTTCTTCCCATTCTTCCTTCTTCTTCCTCCGAATCTGGGGAAGCTTTTTTTTTTTTCTTCTTCTTTTTCTTCCTTCTCTTTCCTCCTTCTCCATTCTTCTTCTTCTTTTTCTTCTTCCTCCGAATCTACCCAGATTCAGTTTTTTCTTTTTTTTCTTTTTTTTTCTTCTTCTTCCTTCTTCTTCTTCTTCTTCTTCCTTCGAATCCGCCCAGATTCAGTTTTTTTTTTCTTCCTCCTTCTTCTCCTTCTTCCTTCCCCTTCTTCGTTCTTCTTCTTCTTCCTCCGAATCTGGGGGAAGGTGAAAGTTCTTTTTTTTTATTTTTTATTTTTGGAGGAAGAAGAAGAAGGAGGAAGAAGGGGAAGGAAGAAGGAGAAGAAGGTTGCAGTCGGAGGAAGAAGAAGAAGAAGAAGAAGAAGGAAGAAGAAGGAAAAAGGAGGAAGAAGAAGAAAGAAAAAAAAAAAAAAACAAACTTCCCCAGATTTCGGAGTAAGTAGAAGAAGAAGGAGAAGGAAGAAGGAGGAAGGAAGAAGGAGGAAGGAAGAAGAGGAAGGAGGAAGAAAAAAAAAAGTTGCGGTCATAGGAAGAAGAAGAAGAAGAAGAAGGAAGAAGAAAAGAAAAGAAAGAAAAAAGAAAAAAGAAAAAAAAAACGTGGATGACACGTGGCGCCCAGTCAGTGTGCCACATCACAATTAACAGGAGACTTAACAGTTTGACTAACGGATGTATGAGACTGTTCCAAAATTTACACTTTAGGTATGAATCTGAGACGAAAAAAACTTGATATACTAAATGTTGAAAACCACAAAACATTAGGGTAGTAAACAGTCTTTTACCCTATATTATATGTGTGGCTTTACCCTAAACTGCCATGTGGTAGCATCCTAACTCACCTCCCTCTTCTCTCTTTCTGTCCCCCCCCAACCTCGACATCTCTCTCTCAACCTCTCGTTCCACTCTCTTCTTCTGGACACGCACGGACCGTGTCACCATCAAGGAAGGCTCACAACGAGCCCAGGACCTCTTTCCTTTTCTCACCCTGTGAGATCGACGGCACGGGAGCAAAAGCTCCGACGAACCCTCCCATTTTTCCGTTAGGTAAGTCGCAGATCTTTCCTTCTCTCTGTTAATGTGATGTTGGTTGTGATTTCTGAGTCAGATCATTCCCTTTTTACTTAGGTTTTACCTCAGAATCGAGTTGGGTTGAGCACACCCATTTTTTTGGCAAACCCGTGAACGTTTAACGTTTTTCCAGTCACCTCCAGACGTATTTCGACGATCTAAAGGTAATTTTGTGTTCCTCTCATCTTGTGCTACTTATTCGTACTTAGGTTGGGGTCTAGAACCCTTGTTTTCAGGTGACCGGAGCTGTAGCAGCTCCGGCTTTCTTCTTCGACAAACCCAGGCCTTTTAGGCCGTTCTTAGTGACCACGGGCCTTAGGCCCGTTGTTTTTAAACCCAATACCCTAGCCCGTATAATTTTTATTTTTAGTTATATGTTTTTAAAACCCAAATACCCAAAAAAGGCCTTGGGCCAGTTTTAAATGAAAGGGGTTAAAGCCCGGCCTGCTTGTGTGAGGACTGTTATGCATGTGTGTGTTATGGGCCGTGCCCTGCATGGGTCCGTGTGTGTGTTTTGGGTTGGGTGTGTGTGTGTGTGGGGGTTATGTGGTGTGTGTGTGTGTGTGTGTGTGTGTGTGTGTCCATGCATGTGTGGTGTGTGTGCGTGTGTTGTGCATGTGCCGTGCATGTGTGGTGTGTGTGTGTGTGTTATGCATGTGTGGTGTGTGTGCGTGTGTTGTGCATGTGTGGTGTGTATGTATGTGCCGTGTGGGTGTGTGTTTGTGGGCTGGTGTGTGTGTGAGTGTGGGTTTGGGTTTTTAAGCCCACACCACCTTTTTCACCCAAAACCTTTTTAACCCAAAAACTCTAGGATTCTAAAACCTATTAGGGCCTAACCCATCCAACCCAAATCCTTTAGAAAATCTTTTTATTTATTTATTACATTTTTGTGCTTAGGTAAAGTTGCTAGTAGAGAAATTCTTAATCCTCATCCGCACAACTCTACTGCTGAGGAGTATCTGTGAGTGGACCATTTTTAAAATTTGCATAATTTCATAGTTTAATTTCATAAATGAATAGTATGCCTTATGAGTTTATGATTTGATTTATGATAATCAATGTTTATTGAATATGTTGATTTTCGTCTCGTGTTTTTGGTGAGGAAATTATTGGTTAGCCTATATTGAGCTATATTTTTAAAATATATTATTTTCTATAAAACCATGAACTGGTAGACTATCTGATGGATGACGATAGGATGCTAGAACATGTTTTAGAAACCCCTCTTTATAGTATAAACGATGGATGACTTTATACTATGAAGTGGTTATTTATGAGAGGCGTAACTATTTGTGCGTACCTAGTAGACACTATGCCGCCTGGGGCGAGGATCTGGTGTTGGCAGTTAGGCCGGGAGAAATAATCCCTAGCTACGGGATGAGGGACACGGAGTAGGCATTGGGCCGGGAGTTGGTAATCTCTGGCTACGGGCGCAGAGACCACGGAGCAGGCATTGGGTCGGGAGTTATATTTATTCAGCGATCTTTCTAGCAGCACACCGCGCTTACGAGACAATTTATGAGATGTTTACTGTTTTGATTTCCACAATATGACTTTTGAGATATTTTTGGCATGCTAGGATTTTATTTAAATCCATCACTTATTATGCTAGTAGTTTTCGTTAAATATATATAAACTGTGGGGGTTAGTATATTGATAACTGTTTTATTATTATTGTATCTATGAACTTGGTACACTCACCTTTATTTTGCGCCCTCATTCAGGTCTTAGAAGCGAGGACTACGACTCGACGTACGAGGCATTCCCCTTCCAGTAGCAATCTACCACTCACTTGTGTGATATCTTGTAATGGTCTTTCCTTTTTGTGAATCTTGTATT